TTAGAAAGCTGTAGGTCTAATGGCCAATCTTGAATAGAGTTTGTGGGAGCCTATACCAGAGATGTTGCTAGGACCAGAGACTGTTATATAAGAATCATCCACTCCCCATAGGAAATCAGAGAACCCAGCAAAGAGTTCCAATTAGCAAAATCCTAAAGAGCAGGGTTTAAAACAAAACTCCCCAAAAAGGATACCAAACAAAAAATAAAAATGTGGAATCTGATCGCATCGACGCCCTAGGGCTTGGGAAAGAGTGGCCTAAGCGACAAGCAAGTTAGGCATTTCAACCAGTTCAAGAATAGGTAGAGGCACCAGCTTACACCCACTTTCTTAGCAGGTAGTCCCGAGGTGCAGGCAAATCCATTGGTATAGAAATGGCAAAGAAATGGGCATATCTCTTAGGGTCCCCCTAGAGCCTAAGACTTGCAGTTTTACTATTTTGAAAATCCAAGAGCTTAGAAGGATAGAGAGGAGACATCTTGAAATAGGAAAAGAACCCTACCTTGATATGTGACCTCAGCCCCCCTGCACCTTCTAACAATGGATTCTTTAGTCGAGTAGTGGTGAAACTGCAACTGGTGTCGGAAGTCCTAATGGCCAAGGAAGAAGTGTTCAGAGTCTAACAGGCCCTGACACTACTTCTGATGGTGGATTTGGGTACACAACCTCTACTTTCCCTCAATCAGTTCTTGGAAATAGGATTAGGATAACATTGATGTTGGTGAGTTTATTCTTCTTATTACAATAAATTTGTGATATGAAGGATTGTGTAAAATAACACAACTTTATTTAGCATAAATAGGTATTTGTGTTGCAAAATTGGTTGGTGCTTGTGGATTTACTAATGTAACATTATTGCATTTGACTTTAACCTCTTAACACCGTTTGGGCAATGGATTCAATGGATACCTGGGGCTCCCCTCCTACTGCTGGGGCCATATTTAATGGCCCAGCCTTTTAGATGAGCTGTTTGTGGAGCTGGAAGCCAGCATCACAAACAGCTCTTTAAATAGGCATTTAAATGCCTATGTGAAGATTGTGGTATGAGCAGGGTTAATTCCTCGCTCACACCACTAAACCTAGGTGTCAATGGATACCTAGGGCTCCTGTAAGTTAGTAACTTCAGACTGACTGATGAGCTCTGTGCAGCACTGGAAGTCAGCGCTGCATAGGGCTCTTTAACTTAGCTGCAAATTTTGTGGGGTGCAGGCTGATGAGGTATCCTGGTATCTCAGCCTGTTCCCAGCCGATATGGACAATTGCTGGGCTTTTCCAGCTTCCCAGCACCTATTTCTCTGTATATTTGGCTGGGAGCCAGCTAGGCACACTATGATCACACTGAGATAAATTAAATAGGTTGTTTCATTTTGTCCACTCAAAGTTCATTTAAGCACCACTTGCTGTAGATAGCTAGGTAGGTACAGCAATAACCTTATAGGGATTTTCTAGTGCCAGGAAAACAAATCCGTTTTCTTGGCACTAGAGAATCCTGGAGTGCACCCTCTCTCCTGCCCCCTTACCCCACGTCCCTCAGGCACTTACCTGAACCCAGCGTCGATGTCCCTCGGCGCTGGGTCAGGCTCCGCCCATGCTCCTCCCCCACTGATGTCCGCCGGCGGGAGAGACCTAATGCGCAGCAATGGCCGCGCACATTAGACCTCCCCATAGGAAAGCATTATTCAATGCTTTTCTATGGGGATTCCGGCGACGCTGGAGGTCCTCATGCATAGCGTGAGGATGTCCAGCATCGTTTATACGAACAAAAGTTGCCTAAGAAGCCGGAAGTCCATCTAGTGGCCGTCTGATAGACAGCCACTAGACGAGGACTAAACCCTGCAAGGTAATTATTGCAGTTTATAAAAATTGCAATAATTACACTTGCAGGGGTCAATGAGCTGAAGCAGTCTGGGTGCCTACAGTTTCCCTTTAACCTAGTCTTGGTCTATCTCCCTCAAAAGCTGCAGTCAAACTGTCTGGAAGATTTCTGCATGGGAGGATAGATTGTTTTACAGCTCTTGTGTCACTTGATGTGTGAATAGAACAAACAGTTACTGTCCTTTAACCATCAATCTTCTTTTTTATCCACCTCTTAATTGGATAGGAAATACAGCCCACATGATTTGGCAGACATCTTACCCATCATGGCAAACTAAGTTGCTTATTTGCTAACTTCATCTCTATTCCACCCCCTTTCTTCTGGCACTAGGAACTCTGAATCGAAAGAGACAAGCTTGTCTGTTGTGCGAGTTGTTTATTTCATGATCAGGGCCAGATTAAGAGCCCAGTGGGTGCTGACAATTATGAGGGGCCTAAGTAAAGAATCGTATCGACCAAAAACACTAAAACAGTCATACTTGTCAAGCGTTATGCATCTGGTGGAGATGTTGCTGGAGGGAAACTCATAGGATGCAGCTATAAGAAAACTCAGATTCTCTAAAAATATGCTAATCTCTCTCTAATTCATGCTTACATCTTTCAAGCATATCCATACCCCCTAACAGCAGGGTCCAGTGAAGGAGGATGTCAATGGATGATGTAAAAGGGTGGGCAACTGATGCGGATCATGTAACCAGAACTCCTGAAAGGCAGAGACTTGTCCAAAAAGGAGGCATGTCTGCCCAAAGAATTAGAAGGCTAGCCTGGTGTGAATGCATATATGGTTTGAGAATTGAAATTCTCAGATGTAGAGCAAATTGGTATGGTGGAGGACACTTCTTGACTGGAAAGAAAGGGCTTCCACTAAAAAGCCCCAAGTGCAAGATAAAAAGTGGATATTAGATATGTTCTAATGGGTATCCAGGAGAAGTTATAGTAGGTGTAGTGTACCTTTAAATGTAGGAAAAACTAAATAAAGCTTAATAAAACTTAATAGATATTGGTGGAATTAGATGGCAGTTATCAATATAACATGAAGTCAGAGGCGGCTCTCTAATTAGGCGGTTTAGGCGGCCGCCTAAGGCCTCGCGCTGGCTGGGGCCTCGCGACTGCCTAAACCACCTGTGGGCAGACTGTGTCTGGTCCTCGGACAGTGACTGAGGACCCGATACCAGGAGGGGCATCGCACCCGGCAGCATACCGGGCAAGCCGCCGGCCAGCCACCACTGTGTGAGCAGAGCTGCAGACCATGTGTCTCGCGAGAACTGGCCAATCAGAGCGTTGCCGCGGGTTACCACGGCAACGCTCTGATGGTCTCATGAGATTACATGGTCTGCAGCTCTGCGGAGCTGCAGACCGGAAGCAATGGCCACCAGACCACCATGGAGCACACTGGACCACCAGGGAAGAAAGGGTATGTTGTCCCCCCCTCTCCCCATCAGACCCCCCTCTTTCTCACATCACCCCCCTATCACCCCCCACCCCCTCAGCATCACCCCCTCTCACCACTAGAGGTGCTTACTGTGTCAGTGTTGCACAGTGTGCAGCACCTACATTCAGGGCCTCCACGCTCTGGAGGTGCTGAACGTTCCCCATAGAGATACATTGATTCAATGCATCTCTTTGAAGAGATGCTGATTGGTGTAGTGTTTTGCAGCCTATCTTATGGCAAAGCATTGGATTGGCTGAGATCATCAAGCTTGAGGCAAGGCAGGTCGAGGGGAGACCAGCACGGCGTGAAAAAAAAAAAAAACTTGAGTAAAAACACTGTTTTTAAACACACAGACACACACATACACCATGAAAAAACACACACACACCATGACAGACACACACCATGACACAGACAGACCATGACACAGACAGACACACACAGACCATGACATACACCATGACAGGCAGACACACACACATACACTCACACTGACAGACTGACACACATTATTGCTACCTGTGGGCAACCGGCCAGTGGGTCATGCATGGCAGACAGCTGGGTGTGCTAGCGGCCGCAGGGGGAGCTGTCTGTGCTGGTGGCAGCAGGGGGAGCTGTGCTGTCTCTGTTCCCCCGCCTTTGCTCCCAGCTTAATGAGACCGGGGACGGAATATGACGTATATATATAACTGAGTGCATCTGACTGTGTCTCACTGTCTTCGCCCTGCAGTGAGCCGGCAGCTGGGATATGACGTCATTCTGGCACCGGTGTCATTTCAGTGCATGCAAGGGACCTGTGCAGGAACCACTGACCACCAGCCCTCCCAGAGCAAGGTAGGAAGGTTGGATCTAGTACATATATTTGTACTAGATCTTCACTATCACCCCCCCTCACTATCACCCCCGTCACTAACACCCCCATCACAATCACCCCCATCATCCATCACCCCATCACCATCACCACCCTCACTATCACCCACCCTCACTATCAACCCCCTCACTATCACCACCCTCAGCATTACCCACTTCACCATCACCCCCTCCCTCAGCATTACACCCCTCACCATCACCCCCCTTCCTCAGCACCTCTTTACCCCCTCACCCCACCCCTCCCTCACTATCACCCCCTCACCACCCTGAGCATCACCCCTCAGCATCAACCCTCCCTCAGCATCACCCTCCTCTCACATCCGCCCCTCCTCTCATATCACCCCCCCTCACCCTCACATCACCCATCCTCACCATCAATCCCCCTCCCTCACCATCACCTCCCTCTCCCTTTCACCATCACCCCTTGTCACCATCACCCTCTGTCACCATCACTCCCTCTCACCATCACCCGCCTCTCCAATCACCCCCTCTCCCTCTCACCATCACCCCCCCATACACACAACACACTTCAAGCAGCTACCCCATACACATAGGGTCACAGACAAAAATGCAAACATGCTCAGAGAGACATACACACACACACACACACACACACATACAAGGATACTCTCTGTCAGAAACACTCTCAGGCACATACACAGGTAAACTGTGCATCAATGTGTATATGTGACAGTGTGCATGTATCTATTTTTTTCACTTTTTTGTTAGGGGGCCTCATGTTTGAGTTTCGCCTAAGGCCTCATAAAGTCTAGAGCCGCCTCTGCATGAAGTATAGAAGTCCCAAATATACAAAGTAACAGTCTTTTAAAATGTCACAGTATGGTATTGATACAATTCATGCAATGTTAGCTTGTGTCAGGTAGCTCCAGCTTTGCATGAATTGTATCAATACCATACTGTGACTTCTATACTTCATGACACTGTGAGACATGGGGACACTGGGGGACACTGAGACTATGTATCACAGTGTCACTATGTATCACAATGTCTCAGTGTCCCATATCTCTGTGTCCCCATATTTCCTAGGGGACACAGAGACATGGGGAGAGTGAGAGACATGCGGACACTGAGAGACATGTGGACACTGAGACACTAGGGACAATGGGAGACATGGGGACACAGACACCAGGGATACTGGCTGGGAGACATGGGGACAAAGACACTTGGGGACAATGTGTCCCAGGTGTCTCAGAGTTTCCATGTCTCCCATTGTCCCCTTGTCTCAGGGTCCCAATGTGTGTCTGTTTCCCCATGTCTCAGTGTCCCCAAGTGTCTCAGTGTTCCCAGGTCTCACAGGGTCCCCTAGTGTCTCAGTGTCCCCATATCTCCCTGCAGCCTTTACCCTATCCCTCACTTCCCTGAGCTGTAGGCTGTCTCTGCAGGCAGGGAGCTGCTGTCTGGACTCTCTGTGCTGTGTAGCTGTTCCCCCGCGGATCAGTGAGTAGAGAGAAGCAGGTATATGCTGTCATTTCCTATCCCTGCCTCTGTCCACACACACAGCATCCCCTACTGGCCAGTGCTGGTATTGCAGAGTAATCTCTGTTTATACTGAGAAAAATACCGGCATTTGTATTGCCGGTTTTACTGCAATATCGGCACCGGACAGGCAGCCTCAAATAAATACCGACCAGGTGGCAACCCTAAATATATATATATAAAGTCAATGGGCTTATTCCATGTGCATGGGCCTGGAGATGCCGCTCCATCAGGCCCTCTGTTAATCCGGCCCTGTTCATGATTAGTCTACGATTATGCAATCAGCCATGCAATTTTAGATGAACTGCAGTTTGTAACTAAGTGAATCTCCAGGTCTACAGAGTACTAACATCAGCAGAGTGAATTCCTCTGAGTTAGGCTTATGATTAGCATTAAGGGTTAGTGTTAGGGTAAGATAAGGGTTGATGCTGGGTCAGAGTTAATGCTATTTTGGGGTCAGGAGCAGAGCAGGGTCAAAGTAAGGGGTAAGCTTAGGGTAGGGGCATTGTTAGAGTTAGAAAAAGCATAGATTTAGGGATAGGGTTGGTATATGGTTAGCATTAAGTGCAAAAAATTATTCAGATCTTAGACATCCAATGCATTCAACAATCGTGACTAATACATGAATCTATTTTCTTTCGTTGTGCTTGATGTGTAAAAATTATTATAAGCAAAACTGTGAAAATAAAATATTTTTTTCCCTTATTTTCCAACTTTTTGAATTATGAAAGTGCATTTTTCTTAGGAATATCACGTATTTGCAGATAAATTGATAACAAACAGTCAGTAATAATCAGTATAAAATGTTAAGCAGGATTGTGGTGTTCGATACTCCAACCATTTTGATGTTAAAATTCTTAATATCAAAGGAAAAAGAATTCCAGCCTTTAACCGATTAGTCACCTCCTGATCGAGTCAAATCTCTTGTCCCTTTTTCCTCTCCTCTCTTGAGTAAGAGAAGTAATTGCATTGCCGATAGAAGACTTTGGAGCAGTCATGATCTGTTGTTTAATGGGTGTTCCTCAATCTAGGAGTTTCGAATGGTCGATGGACCGAGAGGTGAAGCATTAAACCGTAAGCCAGAACCAGTCTGGCCTTGCAGTGGCAAGTAACTTTAAAGACTTGGATGGTAGCATAGTTATTGAATTACCTAAAGTCCTACATACTCATTTATTCTGTATTTGCATGAACAACTAAGGCCTTGTTTACATTCTATAAGCAAAATCCAGTTGAAAATGATCAACTGGTTTCAAACTAAATTCTTATCAAATTTCAACAGGTTTTAAACTAAATTCTTATCAAATTTCAACTGGATTTAACCCCTTAAGGACACAACTTATGGAATAAAAGGGAATTGTGACGGAATATTTCCGTCATGTGTCCTTAAGGGGTTAATGCATGAGGAAATTCTAGCTGCTGAATGGGTTGTCTGCTTGAGAAAAATAATCCAATAAACGTGCTTCAAATGTACATTTATTGGCCTTTTTTAATGACTACCTCTAAACATTAGAAAAGTAAATAAATAAAAGCGTGTGTATGTCCCTATCACCCCCATATTAATACAAGTGAGGTTTTAAAACTTTGCATGCCCTCACTCACCATACCACATACATCATACAATGGGAACTATCGCTGCCCAATTGCCATTAACATACAGGGAGACTTAGGACAGGTCCACCTCAAACCCTCACCTGTGGGCATTGGGTGGGGGCTATGTGGACAGATCATTTTACAACCCCTGTGCCACAATTGTGATGCTATTAATTAAATAATAAACCGCGGGTCATTGGTGGATGCTCCAATTAAAATAAACAAGGGGGGGGGAGAGACTTGTATAGCTATTGATATTTCAGAATTTAGCATTGACTTGAAGTTTGCAAAGTAATTAACGAAGCATGCAAATTCTATAAAATCATATTATATATATATATATATATATATATATATACACAATACAAATATCACATGAGGGTTTTTACAGGATGTTAACTAAATTTCCTAGTTTCCTATTTTATGTCCTTTAATGCAAACTCACTATTTGGCAGAGTCCAGTAGTTGATATTCCCTTCTTCTTTCATAGCATTTGCGGACCCCGGAATCACACCACAATTTCATAATAGCATCTGCATGTTTCTTTTCAATTTTATGAATCTTGTACGCTTCTAATTCCTGGATCAGTTTCCCATTGATCTGATAGAATGAAGAACACATGGGTTAGTCTGTTCTGCAAAGTACAAAATGACTTGGATAAATAGGTGCTGTGACATTAAAGGACCACTATAGTGCCAGGAAAACATACCCGTTTTCCTGGCACTATGGTGCCCTGAGGGTGCCCCCACCCTCAGGGTTCCCCTCCCGCCGGACTGGATGGAGAGGAAAGGGTTAAACTTACCTCTTTTTCCAGCGCTGGGCGGGGAGCTCTCCTCCTCCTCCTCCTCTCCTCCCTCTTCTTCTCCTCTTCGGCTGAATGCGCATGCGCGGCAGGAGCCGCGCGCGCATTCAGCCAGTCCATAGGAAAGCATTCACAATGCTTTCCTATGGACGCTGGCGTCTTCTCACTGTGATTTTCACAGTGAGAAATGCGGAAGCCCTCTAGCGGCTGTCAATGAGACAGCCACTAGAGGCTGGATTAACCCTAACATAAACATAGCAGTTTCTCTGAAACTGCTATATTTATAGAAAAAAGGGTTAACCCTAGATGGACCAGGCACCAAGACCACCTTATTAAGCTGAAGTGGTCTGGGTGCCTAAAGTGGTCCTTTAACAGTCTTCTCACTGTGATTTTCACAGTGAGAAATGCGGAAGCCCTCTAGCGGCTGTCAATGAGACAGCCACTAGAGGCTGGACTAACCCTAACATAAACATAGCAGTTTCTCTGAAACTGCTATGTTTATAGAAAAAAGGGTTAACCCTAGATGGACCAGGCACCAAGACCACCTTATTAAGCTGAAGTGGTCTGGGTGCCTAAAGTGGTCCTTTAACAGTGTTATTCACTAATAGGAGAATTGGCAGGAATTCCAAGTGAATTTCAAATTTAAAGACAAGATAACCGAATTGGCAGCATGGCTGACTTGGGAATTTTGAAAGTTAAGCAATAATGACTTAATAATTTGAAATTCACCAAATATTTAAATTCTAGTGAAAAATCTTGTAAAAAAAAACCAAAAAAATGTATAAAATATATTGTTTTAATGAAGGAAAACATTTTTAGAGCTCTCACCTTATTCTTTCACTTTTCCGTTTAAAAGGCATTTTGAGAAAAAAAAAGAATGGCAAACTACACAAAGCAAAATGTTGAAAAGCTGAAGCATCTGTGTAGAACAAAATATATAATATAATTTCTCAAGCAATTAATTGAATGAAAATGTATTATTTATTTTGAAGGTGGCAATAATGCCCAGCCTGTTGCCAGAAAACAAACTTCAGCACAATTATTTTGAAGTCTTTGTCATGTATCATTTGGGTGTGTAGTTGATATAAAACAATAAAACAAGCCATATAAAAGATCAACTAAGCCTTCCTTTAAAACAGGTAATAAATCTGTGGTAGTAACTTAAAGGAACACTATAGAGTCGGGAATACAAACATGTGTTCCTGATCCTATACTGTTAAAAACACTATTTAGGTTGCCATTCCCCCTCTACCCCTTAAAAAGCTGTAACACCCACCTTTATTCAAGGGCCACGCAGGCCTGCCGGAGCTGGCTCCACCCCCGCCTCCTTGGCTGAGATCATCAGAATTGACGATCTTAGCTAATAAAATGCTTCTCTGTAGGAAAGCATTAGGTTGGCTGAAATTGTCAATTCTGATGACCCCACTAAGTAGGTGGGGCGGAGGCGGAGTCAAAGGACACACTGGCCAATCACCATTTCTGCAATATACTTACCAGAACAACTACATTAAGCTATAGTTGTTCTGGAGACTATAGTGTACTTTTAAATTTGAAGTTCTCTTTGATTTATTACTTTAGAAAATAGCCTTAATAATACTTATAGGTTGGTATAACTCTCACCAGAACTCTAACTAAATTGATAATTGTCAGGAATTCAGAGTTGATTTCACATATTAAGCTTGAATAGCAGAAGTGTAAATTCTGCATTATCAAGCTGGTTAAATAGAGGGCAGGCAATCTATGATATTTGGGGGGAGCCATTTTGACAAAAAAAAAAACATGGATGGTGCTCATAGATTCTTTGCCACACAACTACTACACTGAGCTTTGTTTATGCTGCCTAAAATGCTCCTTTAATTTAAAAAAAAGTATATATATATATATATATATATGTATATATATATATATAAATATAAAGAATGAGAATAGATTACTCTGCAATGTAACTATGTAACAGTCAACTCGTATTTACTGGTGCAAATGCTTCCCATTCAGATATTTAGGTGATACTCGAAAAAATTAGAATATCGTGCAAAAGTTCATT